ATACATATATATGTATGTATATGTAAATATTTTATCTAAACTTATGCACACATAATTATTCATCATTTGTTCAAACGTATTTTTTTTTAACTTTTCGGCTGCGAACATCACCAATCAGGGTTTCCACCGAAAAACAGTTATTTTAGTAATTGAGACAATCATAGTCTAATCAGCATAGTTAATTATGTTTGTTAGTTTGCTCAACTTTCTGGCCATTGTGAACGCATATTTGCATAATCGAAAGGAATAGTGGAATGCAGAAGCAAATAGCGTTTCATTGTAATTATCTGGCAAACTAAAGATGGCTGACTCATTGCGTAAAATTTATTACATGATTAACTAAAACATATCAAGAGAAGTTTAACTACTCTCTTTTGGGTAGATCGTGTAAATTCTTCAATTCTCTTAAGAAACCAATCGCATCTCAATTTCGAATATCAGTTCATTTGTTACCCGTAACCTTTTGTTACGCAACCCAACGCATGTAACGCAACAACGAAGAACAAATAGATGAAAGTGAAATAGTCATTTGATGTAATAGCATCACTCATGACGTCGTTGTACTTCCAGAAGACCAAAATCATATCAGACAAGACACAGACAGGCTTTATCATGCGATTCTATCTCGCCGGCTTAACGGTAAGTCTATACACGAATACAAGATTATACTCGAGTATACGTTACGTGTACCTATACGTAATATAGCGGAGATTCTTACTACTTCATCCATGTGTTAGCCCATCATCATTCCAGTATGATATGTCGTTTCTGAATGTATAACTGTAGGGTCTAATGTTTTTTGCTCTGGCGGGTAATGTTTGTTAATAGTTTTGCGTTGATATTCGCTCGATCGCCGATGCCCTTTTCTCGTACTCCATTTCATCGCAGCGCACACCTTATATGGTAGCGAGTAGCAGCGCCACTGACCTCATTATATGCTAATCCACGGAAACGCGGAACACCCGCCATTGTAGATTATCAAACATAGCAAACGCATCCCATTGTAAACTTAGTCTGTGTCAGTAATGTGAGCATCGTTGAAGTTTCAGCCAACCGCACAAAGGCCGTATTTGTCTTATGCATTGGCGAGTATAGGTACCAACTAAACCTTTGTGAACCTTTCCGCATAGCATGCTCTACATAACGTATAAACGTTATCGTTTTACACGACAGATACGTAAAGCTAGCGGAACCGGTTCGCAGTGAGAGGAGTATGTGTGCCTCGTGAATTATAAATTATAGGGTTTACGATTGCTAGCTGTGTCAGCGAGTAACCTTCGCAGCAAGCAGACTTTGAACTTGCAACTCACAGCTTGTGGTCATAAAATTGATTCGTTCCGCATAAAAAAAAAATCGGAATAAAACTCGTCGTCCGAACTGTAATAGTTGGTGTTGGTACCAGCGCGTTATTTTTGTAACGAGATTAAAGCTTTCATTTCAACAAATGAAACAATGAAATTCATGCCTACCATCGTTGAATATTTGGGCTAGGCTATAGATATTTAATTTAAAACTTACGGATTATACGTTTCACCTGATAACCTTAATATATATATATATATATATATTTATATATATATATGGCGCCAGATTTTTATAATCCGAGATGTAGGGCCTACTATCGATAATAGGTTGTATTAATAACACCAATCGATGTCCAAACTGTGACATCGCGTTAAAGTGACCCCATGAACGGGTACACATTCACAGAGGTCATGTAGTTACATGGAGTCAATTGAAAGGAACAGATATTGTTCCACATTTCCGATGCCGTACTTTTGAATTCTGCGTATTCCGTTCAACATTCTGGAGCCCGCTGTCAGAAACGTGAGATATTGTGAGGACATCATTAACCTCAAATGTAGGAACATGTTGGAGTGAGGTTTCTTGCAAATGACGTAACATTTTATATGCACGATAGTTACTATTTATGCTGTTTCTGACAACGTGTCCCTGTTCTAGTCTTTGTTTGGCTTACGCTGTGCGTAGCGCGTCAGCACCTGCGGCCCAGTAGGTCAGTGCCAGGTCGTGTCAGTTCTAACATTGTCTCACTTGCTGTGATTGGTAATTGTCTTCGTGACTGGTTCTTGTCGCTAAAATCTTTTCATCATTAACCCTGCGCATGTTTACAACAGACCTGTATACGGCCAATGTCACTTTAGTGATGAGATTACATGCTGTGTTCTATAGGGGCTAAGTTTGTTTTACCCAATACTGGTTGGGTAAAACAAAAATAAACATAAATGCAATGCTAACGGACGCGAAAGAAATGAAAAAAATATTTTCAATTATTATAGTATAGTCAGGCTACTACTATAATACTATAGCTGTTTAGCATCGTATAACATACTATCGCAGTGCAGTCAGTCTAGATTATAGAATCTATCATCACACTAGGTAGACACACCGATCGTGCTATCGCGTCAGCTTACAGCTGAAACAGCATCGTACATCCACGCATACGCGCATGTGCGCTCGTAGGTGTGCGCGCGCGTGTTTGCATCATAGAAATAGAATAGAAGATCTTTTCTATTCTATTCTATTCTATTCTATTTCTATGGTTTGCATACGCGCATGTGCGCTCGTAGGTGCGCGCGCGCGTGGGTGCATACGCGCGTGTGCGCTTGTAGGTGTGTGCGTGCGTGCTCGCATACGCACATGTGCGCGCTCACAGGCGTGCGCGCGTGTGCGTGCGGTAGGGCCTAAACTCTAGCCATCGTCAACGTCTATTATTAAAATTAATAATATTATCTAATACTGTATATTATATAATATAATATATAATATATAATATATAATATATATATTATATTATAATTATATTATAATTATAATATAATATATAATATGATATAATTTATTATATATCGGTGTCCGTCGTTTGCAGGTCTTGGCCGTAGCTGCACTCACCGCAGCCGTAGACCTCGACGAGAACACTGGCTTCATCAACGACTTCGGCGGAGGCACGGGCGGCGGCGGCTTCCAACTACTGCAGTCTCGTCCTGAACAGCGCGGCGTCCGCAACTTTGGCGGTGTGACGACGGGAGATGGAGTGCGTATCGGTCAGCAGCAGCCATTCGCTGGCGGTCCGCCGTTCGTCGGAGGTCAACCTCAACAGTTCGAAGGTCAACAGTTCGGCGGAGGTCAACCTCAACAGTTCGAAGGTCAACAGTTCGGCGGAGGCCAACCTCAACAGCTCGATGGTCAACAGTTCGGCGGCGGAGTTCAACCTCGGCAGCTCGATGGTCAACAGTTCGGCGGCGGAGGTCAACCTCGGCAGTTCGAAGGTCAACAGTTCGGCGGAGGTCAACCTCAACAGCTCGATGGTCAACAGTTCGGCGGCGGAGGTCAACCTCGGCAGTTCGAAGGTCAACAGTTCGGCGGAGGTCAACCTCAACAGCTCGATGGTCAACAGTTCGGCGGCGTAGGTCAACCTCGGCAGTTCGAAGGTCAACAGTTCGGCGGAGGTCAGCAGCAGCAGCTGGGCAGCGACCAGCAGCTGACCGGACAGGCACAGCCGTTCAACGTCCAGCCGCAGCAGTTCGAGAGACAACAGACGTTCGTCGGCGAACCTCAGCAGATCAGCACGCAGTTCGGCGGTCAGCAATTCGGCGGTCAACAACAGCAGCAGCAGCAGGCTATCGCCGGTCAGCCGCAGTTCGCTGGACAGTCGGACCAGGTCTCGCAAATCGTGCCAAACTTCGGCGGTCAGCCGCAGCAGTTCGGAGCGCAGCCGCAGCAGTTCTTCGGACAACAATTGGTCGGAGGAAGCCAGACGCAGCAAGGCGAAGCACAGCAGCCGACACCGGGCGAGCAATTCGGAGCAGCCCAGCCTCGCATCCTCGGTGCCAGCCAGCCGCAGACGTTCCCGTCGCAGTTCGGCGGAATAGGAATCGGCATTCGCAATCCGAACGAGGGCAGCACCGGCGGCAGCATCGGCATCGGCGTGAGAGAGCCCAACGCAGCGGAAACGGACGCACAGACGGATGCTGGGCAGGATGCCCCCGGCGATTTCAATCCGTTCGGTCGGCAGAAGATCGGCGGAGGATTCCGGATCAGCGGCGAAGAGCCGCAGTCATTCCGACTCGATCTCGGAACCGGACCGGGACAGTCCCAACGCGGATCGACCGGCAGCGGATTCGTGACGTCGACAAACCGACAGACGGACGTCGGTTTCTCCGGCGCGCGCGCCTTCAACCCATACAAGCCTACACAGAAGACGTCGCCACGCGGACCCGCGCCCTTCAACCCCTACCTGCCGACGCGACGCGACGACGACGACGCCATCCCATCGCCACCCGAGCCGCGTCCATTCAGGAAGCCCGGCCAGGTGTTCAATCCGTACGATGACAGCACGGAGGAGGTGGAGGAAGAGACCGAGGAGGAGGTGGATGATAGGAACACGCCGCAGCACATCGGAGCAGATGCTTCGCTCGGAGACATTCGTCCCATCGATTTGTCGGCCGTGGAACGCAACCCGGCGCTTTTCCCGATGACTGAGCCCGCCAACGACGTGATAGGTGCGTACATGCACGCACGCGCACGCACGCACACGCACACACACACACACGCACACACACACACAC